GGGAAGGGAAGGGAAGGGAAGGGAAGGGAAGGGAAGGGAAGGGAAGGCCATTTCAAAGCATGGCATATCCATGAAGCTGTCCCATTTTCACCATTACTATTATCATATGGAAAAGCCTTGAATACAAGGAATAACTGAGCACCTGAACTGACACGGCCTGGGTTTAGGGCTGAACGTGAGCCTCTGACATGGTCTTAAAGTTCCACCTACATCAGGAGTTGTCGGAACAGCACCCAACACAAAGGAAATAATCTACATCTGCTGAACCTATTGGAAAACATTTCTGTACTGGCTCAGAAGGAAAAAACATTGGAGTACATCCATGGCAAGCAGCAGCTTGCAGATGTTTTCTGCAATCAGTGGTGGGTACACATTCTGCTACTGGCTACTTGTTCCCAGTACCCAAGTGGGAACAAAGTGCTGTAGGACACGAAGTGGTTCTGACATGGCAGCAATGGAGAGGGCTTCCAAAACCACCACCAGCACAAAGGGCACCGCAGCTCAGTAAGTTTTCCAAACTAAGTGTTCATCAGCAGCACGGGGACATTTGGGCTACATTGAGAAGCTGCTGTCAGTCGTGCTGTGTCTCGGTGTGAACAAGAAATGTGACCAAAGCAGGGATGTACACAGCCTGAGCGGTGCAGGTTGTCACCTCCAGACTTGGGCTGAATTATCTGAGGGCCTTCACTGCTTCTTGATCCTCACGCTCTGCTTCAAACGCCTTCTGCCTGCTGCAAAGAACAGAGATCAGTGAAGCTGTGTGTTGCCTTCAATGGTCCCTTGCAACTGAAACGATTCTGCGACCCACTGATAAACAGATGGAGCACACATGGAGTAAAGAACAGAGCAGCAGCAGCACCCCCCTCCTTTCTGCTTCTAAGTTTTGTCCTGACAAGTGTTCATACAGGATAAAACCGACTTCTTAACGTCGTGAAAATAACAACTAGAACATCTCCCAGCACAGATCCTGGCTATTCAGACAGGAAAGCTTTGGTTTTCATTACCTTACTTGGTCACTTTTCATCTTTGGTTTATGTGGACGAGAAATCAGCTCTTTCTGAAAAGACAAAGACCCTCTGATCATCATTAGTTCCTTCCACTTCTACCTGCTTCTACCAAATGTAATTCAGTTGTATTAGGTGGGATACATAGCCCTGCAGAAGGACAGAAGTTTAACCTTGAATGGGGTAAAACCTCACCCATCTCTGCTCTATACTGTGTGAATCAGAGCTGAAGGAAACAATGGTGGGACAAACGTCAGCCCTCAGAGCGCAGCAAAGGGGCTGTGAGGATTCTTTCAGCAGATCCAAGCAAACCTGGGAGCTGCGCCGTAAGGATGCACACACCTCAAGGCACAGCTGGAGCACGGCCTGAAGGAACCAGAGCAGGACCCAAAGGAACCAGAGCAGGACCAAAGGAACCAGAGCAGGACC